CACACACACACACACACACACACACACACACACACACACACACACACTTTGCTTTCCATGTTTAATGGGGACACAGACATAATGGTGTTTATACTATACAAATTGTATTTTCTATCCCTTTACCCTATAACCCAACCTCTAAAACTTCCTCTCAGACAAAACTTTCTGCATTTTTAGATTTTCAAAAAACTTTATTATGAAAAACTTTATTTAAAACATTTAGTATGATTTATAAGCTTGTTTCCTCATGGGGACCAAACAAATGTCCCCACTAGTTCAAAAATAGTGGTATTACTATCTTTGTGGTGACATACACACACAAATTGCTTACTTCCGTGTTGCAAAATAAGGTGGCTTGAAAGAACATTCAGGACTATAACCCAACAGCCTAGTCACGGCCCTCATCTCAAATGAAGCTTCATGATTTCATAAGAATGCTGGGAATGTTTTATTGTTATTCTGAGATCTCCCAATGTAATTCCGGTTTTCATTTCACACTGAAACTTGCGCATTTAAAAACAAATAGTTTTGTTTAGTCCTGTCAATAACTGCATTCAGACAGACAACTTTTAAACACAGACTTTTCTTTACTCGCGTTTTGGTTTCTGATCACGGATCTACTCTCGTTTCTACATTAGATTGATAAATGAGGCCCCATGAGTCTGTGTGTAGTCAGGTTTAAGTCCCCACCAGGATATATAAACCTGTACACAGTTTGCTTACATCTGCAATGCAACTTAAGAAAATTCAGGACTATAGCCCAATAGCCACAGCCCTCATGTCAAATGAATCTTCAGGATTTCATGAGAATGCTGGGAATGTTTTACTGTTTTTCTGAGTTTTCTCAGTGTAATTCTGTTTTTCATTTCACACTGAAACTTGCACAATTAAAAACAATGACATAATAGTTGTTTTCAGTCCTGTCAGTCCTGTTAAACACTGCCTTTTCTTCACTCACGTTTTGGTTTCTGATCCTCCGGACTCTGAGATGACTCACATGTAGTCCATGAAAAGTCACCACTGTCACATCTGTTTTCTTCATCTACTGACAGAAAGCCTGACCTCAGTCTCTGTGCTTCCTTTTGGGAGGGGTTTGCTTGACTTTTCAGATTTTCCTCCTACATTGCATTTCTAGCTGGACACCAAACAATAACAAACTTCAAAAAGTCTCTATTACAGTGTAATTCAGCATCTCACTAAATGTGTCCACTGTGCATAGGGCTCGGTCTTCCTGAAGTATTGAAAATTAAGACAAGGAAAAAAATTAGATATTTATTTTCTTAAACAAAACAAACAAAAAAGGAATACAGAAAAAAGACATTTCATAAAGCGATATAATCACAGGTAAAATATGTGTTATAAAATGTTTTCGTGAGATTGAACACAACATTTGAGCCTATATGTATATCTAACTATAAAGTTCAGCAATGGTAAATACATAGCACCATTTCCAAAGAATTTCAAACACAAAAACAACACAATTCTTTGTTTTATTATTCTGGAATTTGGATATAAGAGAAAATTTCAAGTCGACGTCAACAAATTCCCTTTGAGAATACACTTTATTATGACATTTTAAAACAAGATATTTGAAAAGGGTTATAACACACAATCCAAAACAAAAAAAGGATGACACTTTTCCTATATCTCTCCTCCTTGAGTAAAATCTTAAAAAGTCAGGGCCTTCATTGACACTTCATAGCATTACTATTTACAAAAAAAGCCATATAAAAGTGATATAAATAGGCTCACCAGCCAAAGACACCTTTTTTTGTGTCATGCACTCTGTGTCTTCGCTGTATTCAATCTTCATGAACTGTCAGTTTCTTTGATCACATTAGGGTCTAAATATTCAGGCCTGGAGGAGACGGCCGTTAGGTTAGAGTCTGTCGTCTGAGTAGTGTTCTCAGTTCTACAACAATCCCTGAGGCCTAAACTCTCATTCTTTCTTCCTCAGGACAATGTAAATGAAGCCACTGATGAGCGTGAGAGGGAAAGCCAGCCAGGCCAGGACGAAGGCGTATCCATAACCATCACTCTCATTTTTCCACTCTGGACTCATCACCGTGTAGATGATGGCTCCGCTCATCACAAACAGACCTTTGGGAGACAGAAAGAGAAAGAATAAAAAACCTTCAGTAGGGATGAGTGAAATGGGATCTGATCGACCCGGAGAGGAAATACTCACTGGCAAGGACCTGGAAGACTGCCGTGAAAAAGAAGCGACCTCCCTTTAAAAGAGTGAAGAGCTGGCAGAGGAAGATGATGAAGGAGATCAAGCAGAAAATGGTGGCTAGGACCATGAGGGCTTGAACTGCTTGAAGCCAGTCTGACAGATTGTAAAGAAACACAGACAAAAAAATCAGAACGAACATTACATACATTGCTACTATTCTTAAGTCATATGTTTCTCTTCCTCATATAAGAACACATTTAGTTGTTGTACTGATGATGCGTTATCGCCCATTTGGAACTTTTAAATAAATATGGAACTTTTCAAAGAGTTTTAGACTCAATTTTTAAAGACTCACCAGCATCGCTAGTCTCACGGCAGTGATATCTTCCATTAGTTTGTGTGCAGTCATGCCAGAGGTCATAATTCGCAACTCCATGTGTTCTCCAGGCCTTTTTTATATAAATACACACCAATATGATTACATCTACACATGAACCAATCCTTTACTAACTTCCAGCTCAGACATATGCCCCATTAAAGCAAAAGCAAGCAAGTCAGACCTCAAAGATGATACTCACATTAGCACATGTGGAAATGAAGAGAATGATAAGGTCTGTCAGATGCAAGACTATCGTTGCTAACAGAATGGCCAGCATTTTGAGGCTCGTCTAAGAGAACAGAAAGAGAAAGTAATCACAGCTCCTCCTCAAATACACACCTGGCGGCTTTATAGCGGGCAGCGTTTACTCATGCAGTTCCACATCTGGCCACCAGATCGCGCTGCTGTCAAACTTATCCCAACCCAAACACCCCTTCAGTCCTGTTTATTTTCTTTTTTCTCCTGCATTTTAATCGAAAACATCTGTATTGTGGATACATTACGTTGATAATTACACTAATCACACTGTAATGTTTGAAAAGCCATCTAAATATCTATATTTATCAGAAAAACACGTCCCACATGCAGTCACATCACTTTTTTTTTTTCTCGAGGTGCCGCGTTTTTTCTCGTCACGTCTTAACTGTTTATCTGTTTCTTTGTTGTTCCCTCCTCAGAAAATAAAGATTATGAGAAGCTAACAAAAATGAAATATTTGTTGAGTACGAATTGAGGCAGATTTCGGAACCAGACAAAGGACGAAGAATTCCAAAGCAGCGTTCCAAAGCATTTGTTTGCATCCAGACCAGTTGCAAAACTCTGCGAGCGACTGACTAAAATCAAAACAGATGTGCTCATATCAAAATATTGGCTATTAGGACTAACAATGTGAAACTAATACTAATAATATGATTAACAGAAACAAACTTATTAAAAACATAATAAGAAGCGCAATAATAATAATAGCCTCCACTTTAAATAAGACTTCCCAAGAAAAGACAAACGATGAGCTAAGTAAGGTTAGGACGTCTCCAGAAGGAAAATAATGGTAAACAGAAATGTGGCTGAGTATCTCCTGAAAAGACGTGCAAATATTCCATAAATGAACCAAAGTAAAAAGAAAACTTCCAATGTTCTCCAACTTACAGGTGAGGGGGAGAGGAAAAAATCCTTGAAAAGCGAAAGAGAGCAGGAAGAAAACACTGGGTTGCCTTTACTATGGGATCCCACTATAGATTCTCAAAGCACGAGTCTCTGTATTCCAGATGTAGTACCACAGCAGTATTTGCTTTTTTTCCTCTTTTCTTTTCTTTTTTTTTCGGAAACGTGAAAACACCGCCCTGAAGCGTCACTGCGTCACACTCTTTCTTTTCCCTCCCATACTTCACAACATCTCACTTTAAAAGCTTAGATAGAACAAATAGCTTAAATACGCAATTAAGCATTTATTCAAGCGCTTTAAACTTTTCCCACTAACGATTTAAACTTAAACTTATCTTGGTAGACTTTAAGGGAAAGTTAACACTTTCATCACCATACATACACAATGTGATTGGTTTTATCATAAATTCATGAAATTAGCTGTTTGTTTACAGCATATTCAGCGTTGTCCTTCATTTTGAACACTGTGATGTAGTGGCATAGGGCGCGTCTCAATGTGCGAGTGTTTATGTGTACCAGTGTGTGTGGAGCCCCATAGGCCCCTCCCAGTGGCCCCACGGTATGCCCAGAATGTTGGCATGTGTCTGTTTACTTCTGCATCTGGACTGCATAGCAAATAGATCCCATCATAGTCGCTTTGAAGTTAAATACAACCAGGATTTCGACTTTTATTAAACTTTTTGAATAAAACATTCGCAAGTGTGTCTTCTCGTAACTCCTCGCAAATGCTTGATCCTCTCGACGCTTGAAGATGTTTTGGTGCAGTCAGCGTGACTATAAGCGCCCCCTTGTCACGCCCTCATCAGGAGTCCCATGGCAGCAGCTGTGTTTGTAAATACAGTGAGGGAGGTGTTCCCTGTGCCAGCCCTGTGTTTTTTTTCTTTTTCTTTTTCTGTGCTCTGCTTAGGGTTTGAGTGTTGGACGGCATTGCTGTGGGTTGGCTCAGGAGCTCTGCTGTTCTGTGAGATGGATGGATTATGGGTCAGAGTAATGGGCTAGTGGCGGCAGGGCAATACGTTTACCCTGATCTCCCCATTTGATGCAGGTCATAGAGAGGGTCATAAATATACAGCCTTGTCCATTCACTGAACAGTCTGACATAGTGCTGGCAGTGGACCATTAAGAGTCTTATACTTGTTGCTCAGCAAGATTTTTGCTTGAATTTGAATCTTTTATAAATTACTGAGGAGATTTTAGAAATATAACAACTTATTAAGGACAAATAAACAAATAAATATATATTTTATATAACTCCCTGTTGGTTCATGAGGGAACTGCAGGAGATTTGTGCGTTGAGGAAAATAATTAATTCAATCATAAAACTGGAAATAAATAATTATACATAAATATTATAAATAAACTGCAAGAGATGATGAAAAGCTAAAAATTCATTAAATCATAAAATGCTATATCCATTTGATATACATCTACTGTATATACATATATTTTAACAAGTAAAGTTTTATTCCTAACAATATTGTAATATAAAAAAATGAAAAGTGAAAGTGACGTGACATGTGACCAAGTATGGTGACCCATACTCGGAATTAGTGCTCTGTATTTTTCCCATCCAAAGTGCACACACACAGCAGTGAACACACACACACAATAAATATATATATATGAATCGACATCAGAACCATAAATACATGAATGTGTTGTTAAATTATTGAAATATAAAACTTAAAATTTTAGGTCAAAGGGATTTGACAAAAAAAGAATCTGGGAATCCCTGGAATAATGAATCATCATAAGAACTTCATATGACTTTGCTTGGATCAGCAGGGAGCAATAGTCAATCATATTTTCATAAATTTGTTACCCAACATGTGATGTAAACTTGATTATGATTTGGAGGTAAATACAGAACCCACTGACTAAATGCTTTGTCATGAATTTAAATGGAAGCTGTGATGGTAATTTAAAAATCCTAAAACTTTCATTTTTTTTCCAGGTTTAAATTAGATTTTGCATCTCAAATGTTTAATGTGATCTCAGCCTTTTCAATCTCACTGTAAATAGAAGGGTTCCCTCCCTGTGAAGGTTAATTATGGCTCGCATGTGAACAATGAATGATGCCAGAAATGTAATGCGGCTGTTTATAATATAGCTTGACAGGAAGAGCCACAGGCCATATGACTCACTTACTATATACACTGACTTACTATAAGAAGATTCAATATTCTGACTTAAACATTTCCTTGTGCCGAAGCAGTCAATGATGCCAAAGTGACTCACGACTGAGACTGAGATGAGCGAGTATGGTTTAAATCAACGTGCTACTTGAGTCAGAGAGCTCTTGGTCTGGCTTCATTTAGTTTATTGACCACTAAACCAGCAGAATGGATCGTCCTAGTGTCATGACCTGTATTTTAAGGCTAAACGTGGTTATCTTAAGTTTATCTTTCACATTATAAACATTAATGTACAAGGTTTTTTTAAAAGAACAGTTTGATTCTGTCGAATTCCTGCTTTCACATTGTCGTTTGGGTTTAACTTCTGCGATTTAGGACAGATTGTGTTCATATCAATTGTAACAGTACAAGAGTTTGGAAAATCTCTTTCACGCCAACCAAACTGACGTCAAACAGGTCTGCACCAAATGCTCCAGTATGGAAACGTCCATTGAGGAAAAAGTAGGGCATTTAGTTGTTGCGGATAATATAACATTAATGAAATAAAAGTGCATATAAGTGCACTTAAAGAGATACACTTTTATGAACAGTTTTTATACACTTTTTAAACAGTGCCTTTTTCATTCATTTAAAAAAATAAAAAAATAGCTTCAAAGTACTTTCTCAATCATGTTTTAATAATCTTTTGTAATTCTTTAAAGTATACTTTTTTTGTGAAGTACTTGAGTTTGAATTTTAACTAGCGTGTTATTCAATATTATAACTTAATATATTTTTAATGTACTAAATTGCAACTTCATCATTACAAATGTCTAATTATAAATACATTTAAACACGTCATACAGAAAAATATATTAAAGTATATTTTTGTTTACTATAAATTCTCGTCAGCACATTTAGCAGTACACTTTAACCATATTTCATAGACAATAGAAGTAATTATGAAATTACATATAACTTCGGTAAAATTTTATAGAGACCAATTCTCACTATTAAGTAGTTGCTTATTAGCATGCATATTATTAACACATTGACTGTTTATTAGTACTTATAAAGCACATATTCTGCATGGCCATATTCTAGCCCTATCCTACCCAATATCTAAACTTAACAACTACTTATAACTATTAATAAGCAGCTAATCAGGAGTTTACTGAGGCAAAAGTTATAGTTAATGGTTTGTTAATGGCAAAAATAGGACCTTATTATAAAGTGTGACCTTAACTTCTACCTAAGTGGATCAAAAAGCACTCTAAAGTTCAGCTAACTGCATTTAATCTAAATTAAAACTATAATACATTTTCATTTAACATGCATTTAAGTGTCTGAATACTTTACATTGAGTTCACACTTAAGTATATAAATTTAAAGTATATTATTTCTGTAACAAGTACTCTTTTTAAGTGTACGTCTTTATCACAAAGGCTCTACTTACACCAAGTATCAACCTGTGGAAAAAGTGATATGACGATTCATTCATCGTGTAGTAACGAAGTGTGTACAGGTGCATCTCAATAAATTAGAATGTCATGGAAAAGTTCCATGATTGTGTAGCCTAGTGAACCAAACTGAGAGACCATTTTGAAGGCTCAGGAAACCTTTGCAGGTGTTTTGAGTTGATTAGCTGATTGGCATGTCACCATATTCTAATTTGTTGAGATAGTGAATTGGTGGGTTTTTGTTAAATGTGAGCCAAAATCATCACAATTAAAAGAACCAAAGACTTAAACTACTTCAGTCTGTGTGCATTGAATTTATTTAATACACGAGTTTCACAATTTGAGTTGAATTACTGAAACTTTTCCACGACATTCTAATTTATTGAGATGCACCTGTATTTTGTTTGTTTGCTGGAAACCAATTGGCTTGACTGTACGATTACATCTAACTTCTGCACCACATCACTTCTAAACTCAATCCCAAATATGATTTGTAGTGATTGCATTTTATCGCATGCCAAAAGCTTGATGTCTCAAAACACATGTTGTGACTA